ATCTAAGTGAAATAGATGAGTACTTACAAAAATATAAATTGCCCAAATTAACAGAAGAAACGCAGTATTTAAATAAACCCATCTTAGAAAAAGAAATTGAACAAGTCATCAATGAAATATGTAATAAAAAATCACCAGGGCCAAATGGATTCATAAGTGAATTCTACTTAACATTTAAAGAACAATTAATTCCAATACTACATAAACTATTTGCAAAAATAGGCAAAGAAAGAGTCCTACCAAACTCCTTTTATAACACAAATATAGCACTGATACCTAAACCAGGAAGAGTGAAAACAGAGAAAGAAAACTATAAAAACAAAAAAGAAAAGAAAACTATAAACCAATTTCCCTAATGAATATTGATGCAAAAATTTAAATAAAATAGCAAGGAGATTACTATATCGCAAGGATCATGTACTATGACCCAGTGGGATTTATACCAGGAATGTAGAACTGGTTCAATATTAGGAAAACTATCAGCATAATTGACCATATCAATAATAACACCAACAGAAACCATATGATTATCTCAATAGATGCAGAAAAAGCTTTTGACAAAATACAACCCTCATTCCTATTAAAAACACTAGAGAATATAAGAATAAATGGAGCTTTCCTTGAAATGATAAGTAGTATCTATCTAAAATCATCAGCAAGGGGGCAGCTAAGTGACACAGTGGATAGAGCACCAGCCCTGGAGTCAGGAGGGACCTGAGTTCAAATCCAGCCTCAGATACATAACACTAGCTGTGTGACTCAGGGCAAGTCACTTAACCCCAATTGCCTCACAAAAATAAAATAAAATTATCACCAAGCATTATATGTAATGAGGATAATCTTTCCCAGTAAGATGAGGAGTGAAGCAAGGATGCCCATTATCACCACTATTATTTAATATTGTAGTAGAAATGTTAGCTATACCAATAAGAGAAAAAAAAAGAAATTGAAGAAATTAGAATAGGTAATGAGGAAACAAAACTATCACTCTTTGCAGATGATATGATGGTACACTTGAAGAATCCTAGAGAATCAACTAAAAAACCACTTGAAATAATTAACAACTTTAGCAAAGTTGCAGAATAGAAAATAAACCCATATAAATTGTCATCTTTTCTATATATTACCAACAAAGCCCAGCACAAGAGATAAAATGAGAAATTCTGTTTAAAATGACTGTAGACAATATAAGATACTTGGCAGTCTACCAATTTGCCCAAAAGTCAATCAAACTGTGCATAGCAATATCGCAACTAGGTCTGTATCCCAAAGAAAATTTTTTTTTAAAAAAAGTGGGGAGGAACCTATGTGTACAAAAATATTCATATCATACATAGTATCTCTTTTTGTGGTAGCAAAGAATTAGAAATTGAGGGGATGCCCATTAAGGGGAATTGCTGAACAAGTTATGGTATACTATTGCTATGGAATACCATTGTGCTATAAGAAATGATGAGCAGACTGATTTCAGGAAAATCTGGAAAGACTTTGCAAGAACTGATGCAGTGAAATGAGCAGAACCAAGAAAACATTGTACATAGTAACAACAATATTGTATGATGATCAGCTGTGAATGACTTAGTTATTCTTAGCCATATAATGATCCTAGACAATTCCAAAGTACTCATGATGAAAAATCCTATCCAAATTCAGAGAAAGAATGCAGATTGAAACATACTATTTTTCATGTTTTTTTTCTTTTGTTCTGTTTCTTCTCTCACAACATGAAATGGAATCATGTTCTACATAATTGAACATTTATAACCTATTTCAAATTGCTTACAGTCTTAGGGAAGGTGCAGGTGAGGGAGGGAGGGAGAAAATTTAAAACTCAAAAAAAATTTTTTGATGAATGTTAAAGTTTGTCTTGACATGTAATTGGGAAAAACAAATATTTTTTCAGAGTTCAATTATTTATTTGCTGTATTAAAAGAGATAATTAGTCAAAAAGACCAAAGCCCATGTCATCATCTGATTCCTCTGATTCCTTTCTCAATTTCCTTTCTTCTCTTCACCAGGGCAGCACCAGCATTAGGGATAGCAACCCCCAGTAGTAGCAACACCAGATGCTGGGGCAACTCCACCAACTCCTACATTGCAGATGAGACTTCCAATATCAGTGTTGGCTAAGTCCTTTACAAATAAATTAGTATAGAAAGGTTCAACATTTACACCTGCTGCTTTAATGAGGGCATTGATTTTATCTTTCATGACCATGACTTCATCATCATGTAGGATGGGGGCTTAGTAGATGCAGGCAAGCTTGGAGACAGGGGCCATTTCTGGGGCTGCCTGACCTGGTGCTAGCCGCCAGTTGAATTGAGCCTCAGCCTCACCCCAACATGGCTTTAAGTATCTATCATATACTTGATATCTACTACTTTTTGCATTGAGTACCCTTTCTATTCATCCCTTTCAGGAGAGATAGTTGTCATGAACCATACCTAAGCTTTGTTTAAAAGATTTCCCATAGATCTGTGGGGTGCAGGTAAGACAAATAAGTCAAAGAGTTCAAGAAAAAAACCCAATAAACCTAATTTCCACTCTTTGGGATCAGGCTTCCCCAAGACTGAACTGGATTCTGGAAGTGGAATTTTCTTGAACCCCAGGGTATAAGATAAAAAATGTTTTAAAAGCAGTTCAACAAAACTAACAACTCTCCTATCATGTCTGATATTCATGGCCAACACTTCTGAATTGAAGAGATACATTTTCTCAGTTCTCCTCAGCTAATGTAGGGTATTATAATTATATATCATTTAATTTCTTTTTGTTGTTCATTCTGTTTGCATTGTTGTAGCTACTGTGTACACTGTTTTCCTAGTCATCCTTTCTTCACTATTTGGCATGGTGGAGAGAGCACTGGGCCTGGAGTCAGGAAATTTTGTTGTTCAGTTGTTCAGTCATGTTCAACTCTTTGTGACCCCATGGACCGTAGCATGTCAGGCCCTTTTATTCTCTACTACTTTGCGAAGTCTGTCCAAGTTCATGTTCATTGTTTCCATGACACTATCCATCTCACCCTCTGCTGTCCCCTTTTTCTTTTGCCTTCAAACTTTACCAACATCAGGGTCCTTTCAATGAGTTCCATCCAAATCTGGCCTTAGACACTGACCAGCAAGTCACTTAATCTCTATTTGCCTCAACTATAAAATGGGGATAATAATAGCACCTGCCTCCCAGGTTGCTGTGAGGATCAAATGAGATAATATTAGCATAGTGCCTGGCACATATAGGTGCTTAATAAATGCTTGTTTTCTTCCATGCTTCTCTGAATTCCTTACAGTTTGATACATTTTAGAAGGCTTTGCAAAAAGGATTCAAGCACATTCCACCACCATCACCCCAATATGGTTAAACCAGAAAGCTTAACCAAAACACTCCATTGCCCTAGCAAATTAGAGGCACTTCAGGTTTTATTTTATGACCATGTAACTACTGAATTACATACATAAAGCAGTATGGAATCCTGAAGCAGAACAACTGCAGAGTCAAGAAGACCTAGTCAAGACCTGACTCTGGCATATAGTAGCTGTGTGATTTCAGCAACCCAGGCCAGTTCTCTAAGAGAATAAAGATAAGTGTTAATCTACATGAGCTGAAAGAGTTCCTTCACTGGAAATTCCCACTACCAATGAAATCACAAGTCTGGTACCCATGCACGTGCACATACATTCCTTCTGAATTATCAACATGCTACCTTTCGTGATGCTCATCTCTAAAAACAATTCTACTCTTTCTACCTACTATACTGTATTTGGAGTCAAATGACCTGTGTTGAATCCAACCTTTGCCTCTCCCTACCTGAGTGACATTGGTCAAATCACTTTACTTCTCTATTTTACTACTTTTCTCCTTAATATAAAATGGTTAGATTAGACCAGAGGCTGTTCCATTTTTTTTTTAATGTCATTCCACTTTGACAGTTTGGTGTATTTGATGGATCCCTTCTTAGAATGTTTTTAAATGTATAAAATACATAGTATTACAAAGGAAATCAATTTATATTAAAATGTAGATAGGAAGGCTTTAATCAAGTACAATCTATCAGAAGTCATAGACCCTTTTGGCAATCTGGTGTAGTTTATGCACCTTTCTCAGACAGTTTTTAAATGCATAAAATTAAATAATAATGATATCTAACACTTCCATAGCACTTACTAGGTGCCAGGCATTGTACTAAGTGCTTTATAGTTATTATCATTTGATTCTCACAACAACCCATTTTATAAATTAAGAAACCAAGACAAACAGAACTTGACTTGCCCAGGGTCACATAACTAGTATGGGAAATCAGACTTGAACTCAGGTCTTTCTGACTCTGGATTACAAAGGAAACCAACTATATTAAAACTCAAACAGGAAGACTTCAATCATGTTTCATCTAGTAGCAGGTCTAATAACTACAGTAATTTCTAAGGAGTGATAAGCATGGTCAATATTTTGTAATATCTGCAACAACTATGTGATATGAAAATATATGTGAATGTTAGTGGTGGCAAAGTCACATGTACTCCTTATACAACTGTGACTTGTTGCCTACATTTATAATGAAAAGAAATGCTAAATTTTAATTAGAGGTTATTGAAAATTAAGATGATGTCATTTTTCACCCATCCAAGTTCACAGTCTGTGGACCCCAGGTTAAGAACCCCCTAAATTAGGCAATATCTAAGGTCCCTCCCAAATTTAAATCCTTTGATGTAATGACTTGCTATTCTAGGTGTTTCCAGTTTTTAGAAGATCGCTCCTCCCTTTTCCCCTTACCCCCAATTAGAAATGGCTGGTGGAGGAGGGGAGATTCCCACTAAAGTAGGACAAGTGGAATGCTGGTAGAGAGCTGGAAGCATTTAGTGGCCTCAGGTGGGCTGTAGGTGGCAGTATCAGCATCAGCATCAGCATCATCAGTCGAAGGTGATAAAGCCTGGTTCTCAGAGCTGAAGGGGCAGTAGAGGCGGTAGGTTTGCATTGTCAGATCCTGCCGCCGACCAGAGTACGGAATGCAGATGGCTCTAGCGGCGCTCGTCACCTTGAGCCGAAACCTCGTGGTCGTTTGCTTCCTCCTTGTGTCCCAAGCCAGGTCATCGGCAGGTAAGCTTGGTTATGATCTCCCTGCAGTCCACCGAGTTGTGCCGGTTAAAATAATGTCATTCTTCTGGATTGCTGAGCAGAAAATGCTGTTGGCATTTAAATGCCCACAGTCTCCCTTATAACACTGATCTTTTTTCTCCCGTCTTGGAGTGTGACTGAGAGGTCACGTCATTATTGTGGTTATTTCTGCGCGTTAGCACAATCCCATCCCTCCTAAGAGTCCAGAACTGCCTTCCTTCTCTCTCTGCATTCTCTCTCTCTTCCCTTCTGTTCTCTCCCCATCCCCCTCTTCCTTCTCTTCTTTCTTTAATAGGCTAGATGCCCTTTGATGAATATTAAGGGGAAGGGTGGGGGTGTCCCTAGGACTCAACCAGCCTGGGAGGAGAGGCCAATAAGCTGAGAAAACCTTCTGGAAATATGTACCCTCTGCTGGGAGAATTGTTGTAGCCCCACTCAGCCTAGAAAGACTGGAAATAAGGAAGTGCTATTTTTCTTATTTTCAACCACACATTCTCCACCAGGCCTGTTTGGAGGTGTCAGAGAAATCACAGAAATTGTGCCCTATGCCCTTTGAGAAGTCCTAACCAGGAGTTAGAATGCTTGCATCTTTGCTCTCCTGCCTTCCTTCCTTTGTTACTGCTTGGGGGATTTATGGCAAAAGGCAAATTCTCAGTGGTTGGGCAGGATGGTCTATTTCAGAGATCTTGGAATATCCTGTGCCTGGTATAGAACATGCCATCTTGGCCACCATGCCTGTTCCCAATGACCATGATGTCCTTCCCCTCTCAACCATGCCTCTTTGGAATCCAGTTCCCTTCAAAGATCACCTCAAGTTCTTCAAGAGGCTTTTCCTATTTTCCATCCCACAACTGTAAATGTCCTACATTTACTTATATGTGAGCATAATAATTGTAATAATCATAGCTAACATTTATATAGTGCTTACCACGTGCCAGATACTACATTAAATACTTTACAATGATAAATATTATTATTGTTTATTATGCCTCCCCCAGTATAATGAAAGTTCCTTGAGGACAACAACTACCTTATTTTGTATTTGTATTCCTAATGCCTACCTAACATAAAGCCTGGCACATACTAGGTGCTTAATAAATGCTTATTGATTATGTTTGTCCAGTCTCAATTATTACCACTCGGTATGGAGCTACTTCTCCCTCCTTGGAACTAGTCTTCATGAACTAGATATCCAAGGTTAATACTCTGAATTGGTTCTCTAATAGCTAAGTGTCTGTTATCACAGATAGCCCAAATTGAAGGAAAAATGACCAAAATGGGTCCGTTTTATTTTCAATTCTTACCACACTCATAATTGGAATGGCTAGTCCAGGTTCAATGGTCAGGCTAGCCCTAGGATTACCCTAGGTCCCTGGCAGCCTGGGGAAAGTATGTCTTCCTGCTTTTATGCTTTATGTTTAGCATCTTCTAATATATGGTTCCCTGAACTATTACTGAGTTGTCAGGGTCTTAGGTCAGCACTACAAGACACCTGTCTGCCTGTCTCCATAGATCATGAAATGTCTAAGCAAAATTTATCAGTGCCATTATTTTTTTTTCTTTCTCCCCATAAATAGAAGACTTCTTTCTAAACCACATTTTGCCCTATAAACAAAAGATAAAGGAAAGGGAAACCTACAGTGAGGGAAAATCTATTACCTCTTGAGGCAGTTCATTCTATGTTCCCAAAGTCACAGGACCAGATTCATGGTCAAAACTCAAACTTGGGCCTCTTGTCCTGGGCTAAGAGCTCGCATTTATATGGTGCTTTATTTATTTATTTATTTGGTGTGACCTGTGATTTCATTGGTGTAGAAAATTCCTAGTGAGAAATTCCTTGTACCAGTGCTATTTAGTAATTACTCTGGCTATTTATAGTCTTTGAGGGTTGCCTGGGGCACTGAGGGGTTTTATATATATATATATTGCTAAAATTGCCAGGAACACTGCCCATGGTCAAACAACAGCTATGTTTCAGAGACTGAATTCGAACCATTATCTATATAACTTGAGCTCTATCCACTATGTCATATGGCCTTTCTTCATGTAATGTATATAATTCTTTATGGTTTACAAAATACTTTCCTAGCATCGACCCAAGAAAGCACATAATGGAAGTAGTATCTCAATTTCAGAGCAGAAAACTGAGGCTCAAAAAATAAATTTAAAAAACCCCAAAAAAGGAGACATTAGGAAGCCAATTCAGAGTGCCTGGCAAGCTAGGGATAACTAATACATAGATGGTGCAGTGGATAGAGTGCCAGGTCTGGAGTCAGGAAGACTTCATCTTCCTGAGTTAAAATCTGGCCTCAGACACTTACTAGCTGAGTGATCCTGGGCAAGTCACTTAACCCTGTTTGCCTCAGTTTCCTCATCTGCAAAATGAGCAGGGGAAGGAAATGGCAAACCACTCCAGTATCTTTGCCAAGAAAACTCTAAATGGGGTCACAAAGAGTGAGACTATGTATGTATGTATATTATATACATATATGTATATATAGCTATGTATATAGCTATATATATATACATACTATATATAATTTTAAATGAATTAATAATTAAAGTCCTCAGATTTTTAGCCTTTTTTTCTTCTTAAAGGAATTGAGAGTCTTGATCTGAATTTTTGAAAAACTGTAAAATAAGGCACATATCACTAAAAGAAAGATGCTTTTGAGGATCCTCATTTCCCTGAGAGGTTTGAGCTCATTTCATTCGGTAATTCATACAGAAACGGAATTTTTTTCTTAACAGATGTTCCTCAAAAACTATAAATAACTCCCAACTTAGAAAGTTATATTCTTAGAGTTTGTAAATGGAGTATTTTCAGCTTGGAATGCCCATTTTCCTTTAGAAATAATGTTATTAATAGTGGTTAGTTTTGGAGTCCACTGAAAAGTCCCAACTATTTCAATCGTAATGTATCTGAATGTAGGAGCATAGTGGGAAGAGCAGCAAATGTTTAGTCAGAAGATCAAGCACCACTTTTTATATGAAGTGTTTTCCTGATTGTTCCCAGTTGCTAGTGTCTTCCTAAAATCACCTTATATATGTTTTTTAATATGTTCATGAGGTAGTTGGTCCCTTATGCCCTCCAGGAGCTTGTTGGAACTTCATAAAGGAATAGCTCTGCTAAATTTTTACAATTAGCACCTCCCTATTTAGATTGTAAGCTCTTTAAGGGCAGGGGTTGTCTTTTGCTTCTTTATGTATCTCCAGTGCTTAGCATAGTGCCTGGCACATAGTAGGTACTTCATAAATGTTTAATGAATGATTGATTGATTGATTTTAAGCCTTTACTTTCTGTAAATAGATTCCTTTACTTTCTGGACTAGGGGGAGGGGATATTGGGGGAAGTAGTGGGGGAGGTGGTAGGGCAGGAGTTGACAGGAGATATATTCCCTGCAGATCTGTACACATGCATGTACTCTCTCACTGGGCTGGTCTGTAAACTCCTTCGTAGAAATGATTGTATCCCTTTTGTCTTTCTATCTCCAGGGCCAAGCATAGGGCAGGCCTGGCATATGGTGGGTAATTAATAAATGCTTGTTGATTGATTGTAACTTTGGCACTTCAAGGATTGTATGATACTGGGCAGGTCCCTTTATCACTGGGAACCTATTTTTTCGCATCTGTAAAATGGATATATATACCTGTATTGCCTACCCTACTGGGTTGGGTTGTTGTTGTTTTTCATCAAATTAGATTTTTTTTTCCTTCCTGGATCTTGCATGTCATTGCTATAGTAAAATTCTTCCAAATGAGGTCTGTAGCTGTTCAGGAGAATTACCCAAAACATTAAGAGGTTAAGTGACTTCTCCAACCATGCACAGCTACTATGTATCAGAAATTGAGACTTGAACTCAGGATTTTATGACTAAGTCTGGTGCTGAAAAGTTGTTACTTATTTAGCTACACACACAGCTACTGTATCAGAACTTCTGACTTGAACTCAGGTTTTCCTGAGGCTGCCTCTCTACACACCAAGCTACGCTTCCTCATTATCAAAATAAATGATATATGGAAAATGCTCAATGAAATGTGAAGTGCTATGCAATTGGTAGCTCTTAGTACCATTTCTATTGGACAGTAGTATTATGGTATTGTTACTTGTGATAGTACACAGTGGAAAAAGAACACCACTTTCCCACTGCAGCTTTGGCGGTTTACTGTAATCTGATGTACAGAAAGAAGGGATTATGGTATAATTCTATACTATTATAAATTCCTCTAATTCTATTATGCTACTCTAGTCAACAAAAACAACAACAATAGTTAGTATTTATATAATGCTTTAAGGTTTGCAAAGAATTTTATGCATGCTATCTTGATCCTACCAATAGTCATGGGCTATTATTATCCCCATTTTACACATGAGGAAATATGCTGAGAGCTAATGACTTGCCTAGGTTTGCATAACTAGAAAGTGTCTGAGGGAGGATTTGAACTCAGGCCTTCATCCAACTGCAGCATTCTATCCACTGTGTTATCTTACTGTATTTCTGGAGTTCTAGATGGACCTCTTTTCTGTACCTTCTAGTTTGTAGGCATAAGATATTTGTAAATCAGATATTTGTAATCGACTGTATTTCCTGACATTATTAATCAGCATTCCAGACATCACATTTATAATATCAAACATTACAGCCTCTGATAATACCTGGAAACATTTCTCTAGAAATTTACCTTTCTTTGTTGGTGGAAGAATGAAATGGGAAAATTAGAAGCAGGAGCTGGTCTGTGTCTACATTTGTGAAATATTGGGGCAATTTTTCAAATTACCCAGGCTCCCCAGAAAAAACTGCTGTTATCTGAAACATCCTGATAAATATGAGCAAAGTGAAGATTCATTAAAACATGGGAAAACTGCTGGATTAGAAACCAGAGAACTGAGGTTAAAATCTTCCCTTTACTACTTGCTACCTCTGTGACTTTGGGCAAGTTGCTTGACCCCATCCTAATTCTGGTTTTGACTGAAGGCAGCT